ATCCTCCCTGTGCACAGGCGAACTCGAGCAACGACTTTTGTCTTTTCTTTGTACTTTATGAAAGTTCTTAGTTAATACCGTTTGAGATCGATCAGCGAATCCGGGGTGGCAGAGGACCACGACACTTTTCGCATGATTTTAATTGCTTATGGTATTTTGTGTACTTTGTAGACTTTGTCAGCGGAAGCAAACCATGTTGCCTTCAGTATTTAGTGTCGGAGAACCGCAGCCTTCTTTACAACGCCCACAATAGGACTAAAGCGCCACCTGATGTAAAACGAATGAAATGATTAGTTCAAGTAGTTTATTTTACTGTTCGAGAGTCAAAGATTCTAATCAATAGAAAGAGTCGGTCTTCCCATCACTACAAACCAGCAATACGGTGACCATCCATAACAACAATAGTGACAACCGGCTGACTGTGGAGGGGCGAACAACAACAACAGCGTCCTCCAGTGTCCAACTTAGGTCACTACCCTTTTCCACAAATCTCCGTCCCTACTGATCTGCGACTCCATGCGCGCCCATCTCACCCAAAACCCAAGTGAAGCAAACTAATTCGGGGTTAGCCATCATTCCGGGTGGATTAACCACAGAATTCCAACCGCAAAATATTGGTGTTAACAGGGCATTATAGCTTCATTTGACATGTGTGGACAAGATTTTAAAGTCTGATATGGATTCATTGTAAATATCCCACTGCCATATCCCTCTGAGTTGACAGTGAAATCACTATTTACCCTATGTATAAAGTGTTTGTATGTGTGTAAACTACTCTGACTTATGTTATTCATGCAACACCTAAACACTTACACACACAATAAAAAACAAAGCAGGCTACAATGACGTTCCATGTAAAACATTTTAGTGCAAAATTTCCATACAAGAACATTTTTAACGATACAAAAAAATGTGCATGCAGCCAACTAGTATTACTACAAACTGTACAATTGACTAGTGAACTTTCCTGAGGTGCATATAGTTACTTTGTAAAAAAAAGCTCTGAACCATAACCCCAATAACAAAATAAAGAGTAAACAGAAGAAATTAAATGAAATTAAATAAATTAAATTTCCAAAATAATAAAGCAGTTCCATGCTTTATGGCCTCTCCTTCTTGTCATTTGGCAAATTTGCAGTGAGGAAGACAAGTGACCTCACTTTTGCAGGCTTGAGGCGACTTCTCCTCTCTGTGATTATTTGTCCAGTTTTAGAGAAAATTTTCTCAGATGGAACTGATGTGACCACAATGCAAAGCTTCTTAGCTATGAGTTTGCTAAGCCTGGGGTACACAGGCACCCGACTTTATCACCACGTGAAAGGATCTTCATTGTTTGGAACAAGAGGCTCTTCTAGGTATGCCTGCACCTCCATGACAGCGTCTGCTGTGGGGTTCCGTGTTGCCCCTGTTCCAGCTACCTGCTCATAGAGGTGGGAGACACAACAATGGGGTGGGAGATAAAACATTTTTTTATGAGATTGTGATATTAGACTGTCATCCTAGATTTAGAGAAAATATTGTGATGAATTTTTGCCACCCTTACTTCCTCATGGTTGGATTCCATTCTATGGAATCTAGCTGACATGCCAGAAGAAAGCAAGTTGACCATGTCTTTGGCTGCCTGTGTTATTGCCCTCCTCTGGAAATCAGCCGTGGCTCTCTGCAGTCCCCTGGCCAGCAGTATTACTTTGGAGGCAGTCAGGTAGCTAGTGAGAAAAAAGATAAATGTTATTATAACTATACAATTATAAAGTTGTACCAACAATAATAAATACTATGATGTATTACACAGTATATTTTATGTATCAAATGTTCATAATTTAGTATCAGCTAATCTGGATGCATGCTATAGAAAACTACCATTGACCAGTTAAACTACATACCTTTCTGCAACAGTTCAACAGTGACCTCTTCAAATGGCTTCAAG